GCATCTTGATTCCTTCACTTTTCACTATTTTTCCCCTGTTGATGGTAAGGATAGCACATTATTATTATTATTATTATTATTATTATTATTATTATTCATAGTATTGTCCATCAGCAACCTAAATGCTCCTGCAAAAGTGACTGAGGATGACATTGTTCCCTGATCAATTTGTGTGTTGCATTATTTCATTGAGTAGCAGTTAATCATAGATGGAGAATAGAAGCCACTATCACCAAAATCAAATTTGGATTCTGTTTAACATAAGCAGTGTACAGCTGCTTTTCTATCATTTGAGAGATTTTTTTTTTTTTTTTTACAAAGCAACTGCTTTTGAGCGCCTATTGTTTGGTAGAAATTGCCCACTAATAAATATGGAGTAACAGTCCCTTTAAAGGGGAAATACTACCTTAAAAATAGAAAGCTTGCCTCATGCAATAATCCCTGCCTCTAACTGTATGAAATTTGGCAGGCTTTATCCCAACAAAATGGCTGGTCAGATCTGTAAATATCATCTAATTCTTCTTTTTCTTTTAAAGAGCCAAGAACAATCTCCCTTTTTAAAATATCAAACTCTAAAGGAACTTAACATTAAAAAAATCTGCAGGTAAAAGTCTTTTGGATTAGAAACTGAGGTTCTAAGAAATACCAGTAGCGTGATCATTAAATGGAACAATTTGTCTGTTTTTTTTAAAATCATTATTTAAAAAAGGCCTGGAAAAATAAGGTAAAAGCTGATTTGTGGCTAACATAGTTTAATGGAACCTTACACACACACACAAACACACAGAGTTATATACAGTATCAGACTTAAAATGTAATAAAACACCAGGCACTGATAACTACTAATTTTTTAAAAGTTAAAATATTTCTTCATCTATCCCTTGTTTAAACCATTTAATGTGATTTAGATGAAGACAATGTATCAAATATCTAGCTAGATTTTAAAATAGCATTTGTTTAAGATTTCAGTAAAGAGATACATTTCAGGCCTCATACCATATATACCAACTTTAATCATGAATCAAAAATAACTACAACACTGTTAATCAGAAAACTGAATCTAATTTTTTTTTCTCCTGCTTTCATTTATACCAGGCTGGTTTCCACTCAAGAAGCAGTATGTTTTACATGATAAGGAAGGGGGATAATGGACAATATAAGAAGAAACAAGTAGATTTTAATTCACCTTTCCTTAGTCCAGTGCTCTGAGATGGGTTAGGATAGCAGAAAGTTGCAACTTGCAACTCATTGGTGGGGGCAGTAAGGAATCACGTTAGGGAAGAGGATATTTTAATGGGGACCCTATAGTGAAGGCCTACCCTGATAATTGAAAATGCAAATGATTTGAAACCTTTAGCAATGAATGTCAAGGAGCACTATGAAAAAAATGGGGCTAAAGAAGGCCAGACTAATTACAATAGGTACCACAACCAGCTTTAGACTTCATAATGAGTGCACTGAAGTGATGGATAGCTTCTGCTCTTTGGACTAGCTATCAGTAGTAAAGGAACCAGCAGTCAAGAAATATACCACAGTCAAGCACTGGGTAGAACAGCCATAACAGCCTTGGAAATGATGTTCAGATTCCAGGATGTGTGTGTACATACAAATATCAGGACTGTGCAAGCAATGGTTTTCTCTATAATATATTACAGAAGTGCAAGTTGGACTTTGAAGAAGCAGGGTAGAAAAAAATATTGATGCTTTGAACTTTGATGTTGGAGAGGACTCCTGAGAATACCATGGATAGCCAAGAAGACAAACAAATGGATCATTGAACAAACCAACCCAAAGTTCTCATTTGAGGCACAAAAGACCATGATTCAATTATCATATTTTGCACACATTATGCAAAGACCTAGCTCTCTGAAGAAGTTGACCAGCAGCAAGAGAGATGGACTTAATTACAGCAGTGATTGGTGCACCATTGGAAAACCTGAAGGAACAGATGGGGGACAGATTGTCCTAGAAAAAACCTATTTATGCGGCCAGTAAGAGTTCACAGCAACTTGATGGCAGATAATAATCAATCAATCTTTAATTGTGAAGGCCACATTCCTTGAGAGAAAATCTGTAAGAGATCATATACCTGGAGTGAGGCTGAAGCCTGAATCTGATGTGACCAGAACCAAAAGACCTTCCTTCCTTCTCTGTCTCCAAGTTCTTCCAGGATGTTAGAACTGATTATTTACAAATAACTTTTGAAATTAAACTGAAGATTACTTCTAGGGAGATAGATTACCAAGCCTAGCCTTCTTCAACCTGGTGTCTTCAAATGTATTTACAACAATCATAATCCCAGTTTTATGACCATTGACCAGACTGAATCAAAAGGATGGTACCTGTAGTTACAAACAATAGAAATTGCTATGAGTTATGGGACTTGTAATGCAACACTTCTGGAGAGGGCTAGATTGCTGATGTAAAGGCCTTTGATTGTATGGAATGTCCACATTTAAATGCTCTTTTGGATGCAAAAGAAACATATTACAATTCAGTTAGAATGAATGATCCATGCTGATAGTACTTCTCAATTCACATTATCTATAGTGATGACAATCTCTTTTTAAATGACTTTTTCTTTTGGAGAAACTAGCTTCAATACCACACTTGCCTTTTGCTAATGATTAGGTTACCACCAAATGGTTAAGTGAAAACAGCAGCACACAACTTCCAGAAGAAGAAATGGTGGACTAAAGACAGCTCCACAAAAAGTGGAGCTGACAACTGTGGTGAAGAACAAAGAGCCGGTGATCAACGACAACTATTGTTACGTTTGGGGGGATTCTGACTTCAGTCATAAATCCCACAGATGGTAGCTTTGCCCCATTGGCTCCTCAGCCAAGCACATACACCAAAGGTCTGAACCTGCAGTTCCTCTCATACTGAGCAGGATTACTAGCACAACAACTATTGCAGCTGGTGAGTAGACTGGCTCTTCAACCCTCTCTGGATAAGGTGAGGACAGAAGATTGCTCACAAGTGTCCCAGATAGTTGCTTCTCATGAAGAGACCAGAAGACAGCAGTCCTGGCAGGTTTTGAGCCCTGGGAGATGAGGAAATAGCCATTTTGCTCAAACCATGGTTGGCGCCTTTAAAAGGACTCTAGGTTCTCATACTCCCTTTTCTAATCACATTCAGAAATTGCTTGTTAACTACTTTTTAGCTATTAGAGACCTTTGGATCAACAAGTCTGAAAACACCAGATGACTCTGCCTTCAATCGTTAATGAAAAAAAAATTTAACTACAAGCTTAAGAACTTAAAAAAATTGAAATAAACAGCAAAAAGCTAATTAAGACTTTGGTTTCAGAAAGTTATAAGTGGATTAAGGGTCCAGATAAATTTGAAATAAGATTTTGGAATTAAGTACAAAGAATCCTTCCTGTGGGAAAGTGGACTTTTTTGAAATTTTTCTAAGACATAATAAACAATTTTAAAAATTGGACACTAGAGGGAATTACAGATTTTACTTAAAGGAGAAGAATACATAAACCTGATGAACAGGTACCGAATGACACAAAACATTATAACATTGGAAATACTGAAGGACACTTTTGACAAATGGAATCACAAGTTAATATCAACAATGTCAATAGTGATGTTTGCTTCTACGGATAGACTGTGTCCAAAAGATGTTATCGAAGAAATGGCAGAAGACAAACAAGTTTTATCTGACAAGACAGAGACAGAGTTGACATTGAAAATGGATCTACAAATGACAGGCTACAAAAATGACATGGAAAAAGATGCCTTATTGGACATACAAAAGAAATTAATTGATGCTTTAAAAATCAAAAGGGAATTACAAATAATAAACCAAGGGAGTGACCTGTATAATTCTTTTATATTGGATTTATAAACGAGGTTTGTTAAAGTTTGGATGAATCTTGCGAGAAGGGGCAAAAAAGAAATTAAAAAAAAATCAAGTTCTATGACGTTACTTGAATGGACTAAAGCTTAAGCTTGTTAGAAGTAAAAGGAAGGAATATAAAGTTGGTTTATATTTATTATATATAAAGCTGGGCACAGAAAGAACTGCCCCTGTCTGTGCTCCTGCACTCTGAAGATGCCAGTCACAGGTGCTGGCGAAAC